TTATTTACCGGTGTTGTGTAGTAAAGTTACATTATTACAATATATAGGTACATAAATAAGATTTCTGAGTATATGATATATTACTTTAAACAAATCGTTTTGAAATCATCGTGTAGTACCTTTCACAAATGTAATACTGTTTAATATTATTCTTTACATATTTATATATTAAATACATTGTAAAACGTTGATATATTATAATTAAAGCAACATTTTATACCACGACTTAGTTGAATTGATATTATATTATACATTTGTATAATTGTGTTACGATGTAGTTACTAATTATTTTAATTTGTCGTTTCAAAACGGCTATTTTACATTTTTACGTGTATATAATGTTGATCGACATACGTTTTATTTTACACCGATAATAAGTGGTGAAATTAAAAATAATAGCTATGTATAAATATTAAATAAATAGTATTGGTAGGTAGTTCAAATCGGCAAGTGCTTACTATAAAGTATAATTTAGAAAAGTATTTCAAATCTATAGGTGAAAGATTTGCATTAATTGTATTACTGGAATATTTTATTATATTATAGTACAGGTACATATAATTATACCTAGTGTGATATCAATATATGTGCAACATGAGTATAATATGATGGAAGATTTATTAATAGACATAGTAGTATAATATACTATACTCATCTACATACATAGTATGACGCTGCTTACAACTCTGAATTAGATTGGTAATGACTAATGATATAATATAGGACATGAATAGTAAATCTAAAATATTTTTGACAATTTGTTTAAAAATGATTATAATTTAAACGAGTTCGTAAATTATTTTAATTTAATTTTACCCTGGTACTGGTAGCTGGTATATTATTAGTGTTACGACTTTGTGTATGATATGATAATTTAAAAAAAAACTCGTTAAAATATATAAATTTTACGATTTTAAAATGTAAATAATAACCATTATTTAGAATGGAATAATAGAATTCTCATTTATCATTACCTGTTACGACCTCCCAAAATAAGAATAATATGCCAAGATAAATAGATTTAAGGCTTTGGTTTAATCTTTTAATCTAGAATAATGTATAATCTCGTTGACTTGCAAACTAGATTCGTGTAGTTCCATTTTTTTTTGCAAACACGATTTTAACAACCGCAGACAGTAATAATATTTTATATTGATAATAATAATTCGTATATATACTTACTAACGGTAAACAAACTCATCAGGCAGAATCCAATTAACCGGGCTAATAACATTGTGTACGTCGATTAGGCTCTACAGGGCAAGAACAATGTAAGTCAATTATAATCTGAAATTAGAGTGGGAAAACGCAACATTATAAATCGATTTTTACTTTACGTCGTTGACTGTATATTTATGTGGTTCAAGACAAAAAAGTAATCAATGGGTTTTCATTTTAAATTACAATAATAATGTTTATATTTGTGCAGTAGATGCACATTATAAAATAAACGAAACCAATGCATACAAAATTAAGCGTAAGGCATAAAATATTTACAGCTGTACCTACAAGATACCTACCTAAACATTTTCCATAAGTCATTAGGTACATATATATACGTGCGCATATTATATACTCTTCACCAGTTTGGAGTCACCAAACGGCTGACCGTGAACAATTTTTTTACGGACCCTGATGGTAACCTCTAAATACAATTTAAACGCTGCATATGTTCGAAAACCATTCTGTCATTTTTTCGTATTTATTATAAGATAAGTAAAAAATAAAACGATTTGGTCTGCCATTTGGCGACCCACGCACCTGCTTTACACCAATATAATACACCGCATGTCTGTATAGTTTAGTTCTATATCATGACGTTCTAAATGGTAAATTTATTTTATACACCTCTATTCCATGTATATTGTATACTATATGAATATAATATAGTATAATATTATAAGCCTACCTATATAAAATAGTTATGGTTTAAAATTTTAAATATTACTTGTATACCTATATACCTATATGTATGTAGGTACTACACTCGAAGGTTAACCTTTAAACGACAATAATGCCTTTTTATTAACATGCTCGCTCTAGAAATGACGGTAGGGTAAAAGCGTCGAGAACTTCTTTCGGTTCGAGACTAATCTAGTTAATGTGGACCATAATTTATATTGTCCCACTATATAGGTATAACCCAGTATACACCTATTCAATTTATTTATAACAACATCCACATTTTATGTATAACGCACACACCATATTTTTACAGATTAAACAAGACTGTCAAGTATATGAAAATAAAAATAATAAAAAGTCTGTATATACAGGCATAATCGAATGCAAATGTATCCATTTGTACATGACAATAATTTAATCTATATTATTATGTTGTCCAATAAACATGAAAAAAAAATACACCTCTGCACAATAATCGTATTAAGAATATATTGTACATAATAATGCGTGAAATATTATAAAATAATGGTAGGTACTTACATTAGGCCATCAGGGAATCTATATATTCTTCTTTTCTTTTTTTAGTAGCTAATTCATACTTATACAAATGCAAAGAAATCGGTTTTCATAAATAAGATCCAGTACCGGAATAGTTTTAGTTTTCAGGTGTGGTTTTTTAAATTAGAACTGCGATCAAAACATAGAGGTATTGTTACATAATAATCATAATATTATTTGGGGGACATGTCATTTGTTAGTAATTTGGGACAATGCTATTAATTTTTAAACTTGCCTACAACTTTTAAGAGTGTTTACATCACTTGCTTACGAATATTGTAATAATTTCCAAGTTGAATTCGGGTACATGACTTAATTTCAAATTAACTAAATTGCCGTAACACAATTTTAGGTAGTTACGTACGTATAGACTTAATATACCTAGCTATACTCAATGATGATTAAAATAACGGTTCACGAAAAGGTTAAGTTTGGTATATACATAGGTAGGTACATATTATAGTTACATTCAACATAAACGTTTAAATCGTGTACAACGACTACAGCGTAACATATACACACGTATACAAATATATTTATAGATAAATATAAATATATATATATTATATAGCTCTATTAGAATTGCAGTCGTCGTTATTGCTAATAGTGTACATGCGCGTCTACCTACATCTCTCATTAAATTGTTTTGCTCGAAAATGTCCTCGAAAAAAACATTAAAATTAGTTCTACTTGTATTTTTATTACAAATAGCGACGTTGAGACCGAATATATGTTATTAATAAAATAATAGAAGGTACCTACCTAAATGGAATTAAAGTAAGATAATATAAATAGTTTTTATTGTGTCCACAGCGGTCAAATTGAAATACTCGTTACCGTTAAAGCTATACGTGTTCATCGAAGCATAATCCAAAAGTTTCGGTAAGTTTGAATCTTAGGTTGTGGGTAGACTGAATGACTGATATAATAAAATGCCACATTTGGTTTTACATCTGCATGGTTTAAAATGAATGAATATCAACATAATTTCGACAAGAACTAGATTGAAATATTTATAGTAACATATAATTAGGTACAAATTAATCATACTATTTTGCTGTTTTTAATAACTTTATTATGTACTTATATTTAACACAATAATGTTGATGAATAATCTAATATTACTTACACCTCCACACTGACCGCACCTACACCAGAGGAAATCTATCACTATATATTGTGTCTATATAGTATGAGATGAGATAAGTGCCAACCTGCCTACGACTTTCAAGTAATATTTTAAGACAGATATAACCATACTTAAATTATAATTATTGTTCTTTCAGTTATACTATGTGATTGAATAATTGTGTACAATATGTATTTTTAGGTACGTTTAATTTGATCTATGCAACCTTCGGGTATAATACCTATATTATATTATTATTATTCATTACATATGTATATATTATTATGTTTCAAAAATGTATATTATGCCACATGCGTTGTTAATAAAAAAAATTACTCGCAATAATAACAATTTTCCAACGGAGTTTAAGATATAATATAAATCCATATATTATCTATTATAATTTATACATAATATACCTACCTAGATATATTTTCGTACACGTTTAACTACACGCAAAAAACATTACTCGCATATACACCTATAATTATCAATCCGACTGCGCGCGCGCACACACACAACCACACACATATACATGCAACGCCTTAACGTAATAAATGTCTACATATAAACCTATATAACCGATACAAATGCAAACCGATTGGTTTTGCGTTGATTGGTTTCTTATATTATATTATATAGGTACATATATAAACATAATATGTTATATCTGTATACCGCGGTAAACACGGTAATTTGACGGCCGCGTTTGCGTTTTGGCTCGACGGATAATAATTAGTCCGGTGATAAATTCGTGGGAAAATCGTAAGCCATTAGCCGCGGGTATACCTAAATACACCTATTATACAGGTATATATTATTAGGTATATCACGGTATAGGTACCTTATTAGTATTCTTATATAATAGCAACGATAATAATATTATATCGTACTCGGACAATATTTTGGCGATTTTTAGTATTTTTTTTTTTTACAGTTTCCGGTCCAAAACCCGGCGATCGATATTATGCTTATCGAACCTAGGTATATATATTTATGATTACAATTATTTGTATTATAATTCGGGGACCACGATAACGATGACGTTTAATAATATTACACTCGAATATCATAACATAATTAAAAAACAGAGGGCGGCGGCGATTATCAAAGACGTTATAAAAAAACGAAAATTTCGGACGACGGTAAGCCACCGCAGCCGCCGCGCGCATCAGTCCGACGCGCGCGCCGTACAGCAGGTGTGAACCGTCGAGCTGATGTGTCGGCTAGACGGGCGGCGGCGGTGAAAAAAGGGGCGAGTTTCGCGCGACGGCCCGGGCGGTGGGGCCGACACGGCATTGGTGCATTTCGGGCACGCCCCGCGCTGCTCCCACCGCGGCCACGACGCCGGCCCGGTACCCCCACCGCGGAGCCGGTGCGGCCACGTCGCGGCCCCCCGGAACGAGACCACGGCCCGGGCCAGTACAAGCCGGCAGGCGATCCGGACCAGTTCGTGTTTTCCCGTCGTACCGCGAATCGCCGTGGCCCGTCGTGGTCGTCAATCGTCACTCGTCGTCGTCGTCGTCGTAGTTACTAGTTATTGCGCCGCTGCGACAGCGTCGTCATCGCCGCGAAACGATATTGTCATATCATTTACACGTAAATAATCGCATCACGCCGCCAACGATATTACTTTTGCTATTTTGTATTTTATTTCGCGTTCGCCAATCGTATGTTTTGATTTTTTTTTCCGAGTTTTTGGTGATTTTTCGTCGAATAGTTAAGACCGTTTTTTTATCTTTAAACTCTTTCCTGTGCGCCATGAAAACCAGACGGTGACACTGAAAAAAGCCGAGAGCGACCGAAAAGTATATTTCGGCAGATTTCCATTGGATATGCTGCTCGCCTACTCGTCGATTTAAAATTATAAACGTAAGTAAATCAACATTTGTATTAATGTTATTATCATTTACGATTTACGATGAACAATATTTCTCAGTAATAGCTTTTTTCCCCATTTAATAATTATTAAGGTTAAAATAAACTCATACAATCCACATATATATCATAGCCATTTATAATAATTGCATATAGGTATCTATACGTTTTCCAATCGTAATAAAATGATTTATCTTTGCAATTATTATTATAATATTATTTATGGTAATTGAAAAACTATAGGAGACTTCAACGCCTGAACAGGTATGTTAATCCGAGATTTGTAGGTTTTGCCGTTTTCGATATAAAACTAATTACTTTATACATACATTTTACCATACAAAATAACATACTTATGTAGCATATAATATTATCTATGCATGGTTTATAATACGATAAATTGATAAATATTCATCATCTCAAAAAAACATTTTTTTATCTAATAAGTTATTATATTTTTTTTCAATTTTTAAATTACGAAATAGGTATTTATAGATTATAAATGAGATTTTTATTATGTATTGACGTTAAGGTTACCTATACATATATATAGGTACATATACTTACAGCTGAAATCATGCGTATAGTTAAAAATCTCTTCCATATTGAAAAAAAAAATAATAATAGACATAATTATCGACGTACATTTTGTTGTTATTGTAACTGGCTTATTTTGCAACGATTGGAACGGACTCATCGGAAATGTACGTGAATAATCGCCGGGTGATCTGGTGTGGGCGAATGGGTCACGAAAAGTCCGTGCGAACACGGAATGGGCGTAAAGTGTTTTTTTTCTATGAACGGAAAGTAATAGACTAATAACAATATATCGATTCATAGGCTCGATAGCGGCAATAATAACGATTATATATTAATATCGGTTTTTTTTTTAATTAATTTAGTTATAAACCCGCGTTGCGTTTGTACCGAGCACGACCCAAGAGACGGACGAGACGGGTATATAGAATATACCTATATATTCGTACACGCCCACGCTCGATCATCGATTAATCGGTTTAAAATGAAAACACAAATCCTATATACATATAATGTATACATACATAGGTAGTATAATATTTATATATATTATACACATATGTTTACGTATTACCTGTACATAACGAACACATCGATTATTAATTAATTATTTATTAAATTATAGAGTATTATATGCCCCGTCCCCTAAATTCCAAAATCGGTGTCCGACGCATCGTGTGAGGTTTCTCATGAACTTTCTCCGGTATGTCTCGCAGATATTAATTAATCTAATTGTAACAAGCAATATTATAATTATTGTCCACAATTTAGTCGAAAAAAAAAATGAATATACGTACAAAAAAATGTGTTTATTAATAGTCAACCACACTTCCTTACCTACCACCATTACAACTATATATGTAGCCATTACATAATTTAAACGTTCAATTTTTGAAAAAAAATCTATAAGCTAAAAGATTTATAAAATACAAATGTTTTATTGGGTATACCTCTATATATACCCACCTATTTACACAGTGTATAATGTTTAATTTTAAGGTAATTTGAACATAAATTTACTATATAGTAAACAAAAATAAAGGCATATGAACATCATGATATTACGTATAATATGTTAAATAATAATTAATAACTACGAACACACGCGGTATTCTTACTTGCCTTTTTTATAATATATTGTAGTCTAAATTAAAACCTTGTCAGTTGTGTATATTATGTTTATGTTGATGTGTACATAACATTCAACTTGGTATATTTCCCATGGTTCAATGTAGATATATAATGCTAATTTGTCGACTGAGTACAAAATCACTACTAATTATTTAATACACGTTGTTACAAGAAACCAAACCGCCTTTATTATAATTTAATTTACAACTTTTAAATTTATAATTGCTATTAGTATTATTCGCTATTATATTAGAGATTTATTTTTAATCTCAAAAGAATGAAATGATCATGTGTGAGAGCTACGAGCGATTATAAATAAACTCATTCATTAGAATAATTATTATCTGCGAATTGTTGTTCTAGGTTGCGATACTCTAATCAAATGAGTCGAGAAAAATAATGATCGAAATCTTTTTTTTTGCTTTGCAATTTTCATTTCGCAGGAGTTGCACGACGTGTTCGTTAAAATTCTAGTTAAAATCATGTTTTTTAAACATGTTATACAGTTGCAGTCGAGATTCCTATGCATATATGCCTTAATATCGTCTTCCAGTGATGACTATTATTATTTATAGACATGCGTAATATATAATTCACACGATAGTAGTCCTGTATTAATACAATTTACGTTTGGGAATCTAGTTGTTTGTATTTAACATTAATTCCTTCTTTAATCTTCGGCCGGAGCGGTCCATTTGATGACACATGAAGACGCGGAAGAGAGATCTCGTACTGCCACCGAAAGAGGAGCAGCTGACTACAAAAAATATACTAGTAGAAAAAAAATTATGTGTAGCGTATACACACTCTAATAATAATAGTCAAGTCTAATGAATACCGGATATTTCACAATTACTCGCTAATGGACATCACGATATCCGACCATTAGACCCCGACACTATCACACCCACTTTTGCTGTGCCGTCAGTGCACATATATATATATAGCAGCAGTGGTGGTAGTGGTACTATATAGTAGCAGTTGTAGCAGTGTGTTTCAAGGTGACCCACATTGATGATGATCCGCGATGAGCGAATACCTAATGTGTGTGAAAAAAATGATAAAATCACGAAAGAAACAAAAAAAATTGCATAACTTTATTCATATAATATACAACGATCGCAATAATATTCGGTTTTCCCGGACATCAGCTGAGCAAAATAACCAGTTTTACCAAGTACATCATCGTATAGGTGCATGCATATGTAGATTTTTTTTATAATTTCCCAATATAATAATGAACGAAAATTACATAGTCACGGACTCGCGGACAAGGAAAAAAACAAATCAATGAGAGTATATAATAAGATAATATATAATATGCATAATATTCCTTCTCAGCGCACAAAATGCTTGTATAATATAGGTAATACAATATATGAGTGTGTGTGTGTGTGTGCATTACTTATACTTATCTGACAAACAAGCTGTATTTTGTTATTTTAGAGCCGTTTAGAAAAAATAAACCACTGATTTGCATAAACGGCACGGTCCGTATACGATCAGTTTAACGTCACAATGCTCCATTGATATGGCTGTTGGCACAATAGGCAAGTTTCATTAACAGGCTTGTTTTATGTAGACCATCAGAACGGCATTGTTTCCCGTGAACGTCCTCTAGTTTGCTTTCGGTACATATTGTGTCATTTATATTTTATGTGTAAATATATGGTATATAATACACATGGATTATATATACATGTGTTTATACTATACAATGAAGCTTTTACATAAAAAAAATGAAACACAGGCTCGTTATGACCGGAGCGCCGTGAGCCGTAAACCGACGCCCATCATACATATAGACATATTAAAGTACATCCATATCATATATTGCCGTGTAAATGTGGATTCTGAAGCGAGCCAAGTATAAAAAGACAAAAAAAAAAAATGTCGGAAATTTGTTTGTTAAATTTTTTTTGTTTTGTGATTTGTAGTCGCTGCAAAAACAAGAGACGAGAATTAGCGACAACGTTGTTAGCACGTGTATATACGCGCGGGCTATTAATTTAATTATATCTATCTAATCTAAAACATGCAACAATTTTAGCCAGTATTACGTATCCGCGAGTATATACCTATATATTGCAGTATATAATATGTATTATATATGTTTTTATTTTAATCTTAAAATTTATTTTCATTTTTTTTCCTTATTCATATTTTATCTAACGTCAACAACGACTATATATGATTTTTTTGTTGGGATGGTTAGAAAAAAACACGATCCTTTCGTCGTGTTAAATACATAATGTGCGCGTTCCGATGTTTATCTGTTTCTGTCGACGGTCGTCGTCGTCGTTGGCAGCAGCATTTTCTACACGCATATAGTTACTTATGTGATATATATAATAAAAAGTGCTTGGGAGTTGCGGTGGTTCCCGATGCACTTATATACATATATATTTGCGCATATTATGTATACGTTTATAGGTATAGGTATATAATATTATCTATCTGTATAATATGTAGGTACTTATATATGCTTACAGCATTATTGTATATAATATGAATAATAATATTAAATAATATATTGTATTATAAGCGTATACATCCTGCGCGCACTTACCCTAAATATGTTTTGAAACGTTATATCCATTTATATCTCGAGGTGTCTAATTTAAATGCGACACGGTAGACGGTCCCGGAGCGACCCCCAAAAAGGAGAACAAAATACATCAAATCATTAATCACCGAGCGGCATTTCACGGTATATTGGTAGGTACGATAGATATATTTTTTTATACGTCCTTATTCTTATAATATAAATGCGTGTACCGGAGCTACCGCCGTTTTGACGGAAATCTAAATGCTCCGCGTGGCTATTGTGCTCTCCGCGCAGCGCCTAATGATGCAAAAGAATAATACACTTCTGAATATAATCGGCCTCGTTATATATATTATGTGTATATATCCTTTTCATGATTTTAAAACCGTTTATCGCGAGTATACACGCGACGTATAATGCGTATGATAGGTATAGGTAGGTATAATCCGAAAAGGGATTTTTTTTTCCCAAAACGTTTAAATGATCTACACCGTCGTCGTGCATTCACCATCGATCATCGTCATACACAGAATCGATTTTGACGATCGTCGACTGCAGTGACAGAACCCATGTGCACAGACGACGCTGTCACAATACGACTTTACTGCATATAATATTATACTACACACGCGTACACCGTTATTTTTTTACTAGGAAACTTAAAAACGCACAATATAATCGATTCAGTCGCTAAACGCTTAGTCATCTCGGATTTCGTTTGTTTATATAAAATATCAAATCGCATGATTGATCCATCACGTCTGCTGCAGTGTATGCACATAATATGTTTCCTTATATCTACTATTCGACTGTCGCATGCACTACAGATAGAATCACACTAACATAACTCACGCGAGTACGTGACAAATTATATTAACGGATATTCAGCTACGACGACTGCTGACTTTCGTGTATATACGTATTATTATATTTAATGACCGATATAAAATATAATGAGTAATAGCCAATTCAAGCATAATTTGATTTTAAAGAGCGTGCGAGGTTCCCGGTATACTGCATAATAGTGCGAGTTTAGATGTATGAAATAAAAAACACACAGGTTGACAAAATTGATAAAAAAATAAATAAATGTACTAAAAAATTCTCAAATTACTTTTTTACTTTGCAAAAAAAACGAACAATCATCAATTTGTTCAATTTGTTCGTGGTACGTACTAGTTTTATTTTCTCTGGGAAATATAATTTACAACACGATGACGAAGAGTAATGGATAATATATTACTTATATATATATATATATATTATGCGTGATCGCCTCTTGACGGCCTTCGGTTGATATTTTTCACCGACCATCATCGTCAAAAGCTGTATAGAACAACGATGGCGGTCTTTTTTTCTATGTGAGCAGTTCTCTCGGTATAGAACTCTATGCCACTATAATAGTATATACATAAGTATGGAGGTGCATATTATGTGGACAACGCTTGAGTGTTTAATGGACGAACAAAAATAGAAAAAAACAAACACGTAGATCCTATGTGTACGCACATAACGGTTTTGTCGAGGCGATAACAACGACACTGCAGAATAGCATAGTATTATATTATTATGTACCGTTCACAAGGATAATATTATAACGTTCTCACCGGTCACGGGCGCTTAGGATAATAATATTATTAATAACAATAATAATCATAAAAGCCGAGACTGGCCGACGACGACACTTTATATCCCTTCGTATTTTCTTCTCGCCGCTAGTGACAGATTGTTTATGTACACGCACTGCAATATAGGTACCTATACCGTAGCTCTTTCGCACATTCGAGTACCGTAATTTTTTTTTGTATACACATAACAATAATAATAATATGGTCCGTGTTACCTTATATATACGCGTCGGAGAACAATAGACGGGCGACACGCATCCCTTTCACACTCGAAAAAAATAATAATAATAAAGAAGAAGAAGAATGAAGAATATAAACGACGACGATGACGACTGAAGTGGTTTTGCAAAACACGTCTACAATATTAATGATGATCGGGTGCTCATAATAATATGTATATAGGGGACGGCGGTGGCAAAGGAGTTTCGAGGATCTCGCGGTATAGGGTCAACTCGCGTATATATTTACGGTTAATTTGTCAATGACAAAAAGACGCGATGCATCGAAAAAAAAACAGAAGACCGAGAGAGAAAGAGCGAGTTAATATTGTTCCGGGGGATTAGGCGGATGACTTTGATTAAGTTTCGGCAGCTGCCGTTCGAGAAAACCGTTTGGTATGTTGCCAAATCACGCGCTCGTGTGTTTTGATAATGCCAAAAACCACTGTTTGCAGCAAGGAAGAGCCTCCGTCTGCGCTGGCTTGCTCTCATTTTTATCGCGTTGTGCAATAGTCGGAATCTGATCGTTGGCCAAAACTCATAATATACCGTGGTCATCATCAATGTATGCTGCAGAATGGGTACCCGTGTATTATATTTTATTTTATTACAACTGCAGCGTGGAATATAGGTTAAAATAATAATAATATGTGAAAATCGCTTTCACAGAAAAAAAATAATCAATAATCGTCGTCGTCGTCGTTGAATAATATTCAAGAGGGATGTACATACTGCAGTTTCATTTGACATTGTCCATTATAATGTTTGGTTCTATATAAATGGGGAGAAACGATTTCCCCCAAACCGACTGCAATAGTGGTTTTACAGAGAAAAACTACACAAGATTTTGGAGTTGGATAATATTTAAATAACTATTTGGGTGTGTGTATCTAATATATTATACTTATGAGAAATATTCTTAAACGATTGAAGATGAGTCTCCGTCCCCTAGGAATAATAGAAGTAGATATACACTTATTAGATTTGCCATATTATATATTATATATAAAAAAATAAAAAATAGAACACGTTATATTAATATTGTGTTGGTCGAACGATAGTTTTTATCTCAGATCCGATCTGCCAGTGACTGCATACATATGAGTATTATATCATTTAATATTATATGTGTATTGAATAGGTAGGTACCTTGCGTGTGGCCCGACTATGCGTTAAGTAAAAATAGCGTAGTTCGTTGTTCCGAAAGAAAAACGCACACGCGGCAAATAAATAATTAATTGATCTACTATTTGAATAATAATAATATGAACGTTGGACAACGATATAATAATATTATGTGCGCAGGCGATTAATAATAAAAAAAATAAGTATAAATAAGCGTCTCCGAGACCACCGCTGCCGTTGACGTTGTCGTCGTTGTGCGAGCTGTAGAGACGCGCAAGAGATTGTCGTGTCGAAGACGGCATTCGGGCGAGGGTGTGTGTGTGTGTGTGTGTGTGTGTGTGGAGTATTATATACGCATATATACTTATATATATTATATATATATATGTTATATGTATATAATATCGTAAGCCCGCTTCTGAATTAGGAAGCCGGCCAATTCGTGCGACGAACGAAACCGGTCGCGGCCGGTGTCATCTTTTTAAACGTGTGTAATATATAATAATATAATATACATAAAAATTCACTGTCCGCGCGGTAAATGATCTTATACGCGTGTATATTATACAATAGAACCTGAGAGCAACCGAATTAATATCACAACGATAATAATATTGTATTATGTAGGACCTAATATATATACAATATACATTATATATACTCTGTTATATAGCTACAAATATATATATATATATATAGGGGAAGGGGAGCCGGATAACTGGCTTGATATTTTTATAATATATTATTATTGTCCTCTGCACCCGCTCCGATTTCTTTTCCATGTTATGAACGCATTGGATAGCGATCGATGATGACGACCGTTAATTTAACACAATTTATATATCTGTCCGGAGCAAGTCTTCCGTTCCAGTAGCGTCTCGAGAACACTGTCTTGGGTGGGCTGGTGTGTCTTTCGAGAAAAATAATCTCAGGAGAATACGACGACCCACGATATCGCCTACGCCCACTAGATGCCGCCGTTGAGATATTTCACCGTCGCTTATTCGCGCAGCCATATAAAATTTAATTAACCGCCGTCCCCGGCCGACGACACTGCTTCTGCAGCTCGCATGCATAAACAGTATAAACTTCGTTATTCGTTAAAGACCGCATAGACGGATTACCTCATTTTCCGACCAAACCCTCGCAAAATCATATCGATATTTATAGATCATAGTATAGAGAATATATAGAGATGTATAGGTATACTGTATATGAATGATGCGACTATTAAACCTACCTAAAAATCATCAAATAAATCTTAATAACTGCTCACAGCTCTTGTCGTCATGAGCGAAAGTCATCTGATTATGGCTCTACCAATATCGTGGCAGCTAGTAGATCAGTTGCTGATAATAAGACACACGTATACAGTCAATTCCGTCAACGATGACTATACGGATTTTACAAGAACAACGGGTATCTATATAATATACAATTGGTGTTTAAGCCGAAGGTTAGGTTATGGGAGCTCCAGTAGCAGTTCTAAAATAATAATACCTAATTATTTCGTGACTCGGAGCAATTGCACACGTATTATAATAATTAATAACGCTATTAATTATTACTCGCCTCCTTAACACGCACATGAACACAAACGCATGCGTGTATGCATAATACTCGTGTATGAAACGGCGAAAATCGATTTGGTATAAAGTGCTTACGCGGAAGAAACACTCGACCGATATACTGCGTGTCTGCGTGTACCCTACACTGCGACGTGTATATTAATCTCAATTAGTTAGCGTGACAAAAAAGTATTGACTGTTGCTAGACGTACTGTACGTACTGTGTGCCTCTATCTTGTACCGGAGATAATATATATGAAATATCGAAAACCATTTGTTCTCTATAATGACGCGTCCGTGTGTAAAATAATATTCATTGAGACAGAAAAGACAGTATATAGTAATAAGAGTAATAGTTTGTGATTCGAGCAAAACGCTCGTGTAACCATCATGTTGAATATGGAAGGTATATTATACGAGTACATGCAGTAGTATTAATAACAATAATATGTTAATGCCAACCCAATATTTTTAGTAGGTTTCCTTGACCAGATCTATTTAGCATATATAATATATATTGTTCAGCGATATAATACGAAATGTACGCATCATTCGAGGATAAGCCAACTGCACCACCTCCTTGTTTGGAGATGATTTATCTACCGTTTAAAAAAAAAAATTGTTTTTTTTTTTTTACAGATGAACCAACAGTGCAAAGTTTGCGGGGAACCAGCCGCCGGTTTCCACTTCGGAGCTTTTACTTGCGAAGGCTGCAAAGTGAGTATCACAAGCGTAATGCTCGCATCAGAAATATAATATATTATAATACCTACATTAATATGATAGCATTGAAAATAATAAATGAGACGCCAATATAGTATTTATGAAAATCGTATACAATATTATTATTTTGAACTATACAATAATATTATAGTAATATACGCTCTACGCGGGTAGTAAATCGTTTAACAATGTCGAACGTGCGGAGTACCGATATACAAATGCGAACAAGTTTTATTGTCGTGACGACGAACTTAATCTTTTTTCCCGCTGTCACGACGGCTGGTATTGGCTTTCAAAAATAAAATAATTAATACTTCTCCGTCGATCGCACTTCTTCGAACCGATATAATAATATGAGGATAATACATAAAAAGAAGAAAGTGTAATCTCCATTGTCGCTCCATCCCACCTTTTTGTTGACTTATAATAATAAAAATTATTATTATTACTAATGGTAAATATAGGACGAAAAGTATAGAAGTACCCAGCTATGTAAGTAAATAATGATGAATTAAAAAAAACTTTATTTTCTTAACTCGGAATATAATTATTGTTTATCGTCAAACGCGCCGTCCGTGATGTCCTTAATTATATTACGTCGAGACATAAACCGACCGCGTGCTTAGTGTTAATAAATTATTTCGACGTGCTAAAAACAATCGCCGTCCATTATTGTGATCTAAAATCGTTATCAACGTGCCAACACGTATATTATTGTTAGAGGAGTATGCGTTACAGTGGAATGTTGTGTGCGCGAGTTGTCAACCGACATTCACGACATCAAAGGGGAAAATGTATGTAATATACTGTTTTGTGGACACGGATTCAATCGACCAAAAAAAAAAAACCGCGTGCCGAATACCGATCACTGGCACGAATCACAAACATGTATACATATATTATTCTAATAAAATTGCGCAATAATATACAAAGATTATTATTATTACTATTTCGGATAAAATAACGTTTGTTACGCAATACCCGCCGGATAAAAGTCTCTCTCCCTCCCACATTGGTAGCTCTTCGTCCCGATATATTATAGAAGATGCAGTGGCCGATCGTTAGATAACGCATTCACTTGCTCACGTGGATGAACATGTATTATACGTATCTATGTACGTTTTATAAGATCGAGTTAATTTCGTGACACGATTTATTTGACCAATGTAATATTATTATCACCATATCATGAGCCGGGCCATGTGACTTTCTATTTTTTTTTTTCATTATTATCACCATTGAGATGATATGTATTATAAGGGGGACCGAAAAGAAGAGTAGGGAAAGAGTTATAAAAAAAACAACAATTTAATAATAATAAAATGTCAACTGCGAGCGTCTTTATATGCGTATATGTATACGTATGTCGTATATATACCGGTTGGTTTTCATCGGCGATGGTCCAGTTGTGGTGCGGTCAGGCCGACGCGGAATGCGGCATCTTCGCCTACATCTAGTCTATGGTATATACGTATTATATATTATACACACACGTGAGACAAATGTCAAACCGATTGAAAATAATAATAATGCGGATGAAAAAAAAATATAAATAAAATGAAACCTCTCGCGCATTTTATAACCTACCTATATAGTAGCAGGATATAATAATAATATTATGGTATATTATTGTATTTCTCTTGTCTCTCTTTCTCTCTGCAGCCATCCCAGCAACCTAACTAATTCACCATTATTTACAAATTGCTTTTATGTGCAAATGGAGTTGTAAGGACTGAGTTGACTCTCATCTTGCTCTCTATCTCTGTCTTCGAGATATTCCCGGAACCAACTGCAGCATCCACACTCCATGGCAGTATAATAATATAATCTAATGCCAGTGTTTCCCGTCGGATCGGCCTCTGGCGAGCGCGAATAACGTTTATTTTTTTTTTTCATATTCCTATACAACTGTAGCCGCCCGTGTGATTTAATATAACCTATGCTGAATAAATAAAACGCTAGAACTATTATGGTCAAAAGAGTAATATAATTACGCACCGATCGGAAATATTTAAAATTGTTCAAACACAATGAACATATTTAATTCTATTTTGTACCGTTGCGCCAGCTCCATATGCTATGTGTGGACCCACAAGAATTTTATAGTCTTCGTTCACTCTCGTTTTTCTCCGTCGTTTCTACCATACGCTCACTATTCTCGTCGACCGCACAGACACGAAATAAAAGTGATATTTATTTTCAAAACCATTATAATATACGTGTATACGTCGTATTATATGGACAAACCACATACGCGCGCGTCTCACCCGAGATAATAAAAATATTTATTACATAAATATCGATTTCACAACAAATACCTCTTGCTCTTCATATTTATATAAATATGGTGACACAAATTTACTTCCCGGAACGTGTTTGATGACTTCCAATAGAACATATAGTTATTTAACGACTGTAGTCACAACCATCGTTCTCCTAGAATTATTTGAAGGTACCTAACCCTAATAATAAAATAATAACTCTAAACCCTGTAATTTTCGTATATATAAAATGTGCACAGAAGCTTTCGATTGCAATACAATATTTACTAGTGTCACACCTGGGAACATTGTCAGGGGGGGGGGATAGCGAATACATTATTAAGAAATTATAAGATAAAATCCAATAGCAAGCCTAGCAACACAATATTTCTTGAGGAAAAAGCTTAAAGCACTAAACAAATACAATAGATAGAAACTTGGTCGTATCACAAATATAGATATTTCAACTGAGATTATTAGATTACTGGCACGATGTAGGGAAGTCAGACTCAAGACTACATCGCGTCATTCGCTGTAATTTTAAATACACCTTGACTACGTCGTGATTACGGATTGCAATGATTCACTTATCGAAGTTGATAAGTAATATAAAATTTTTTAAAAATGTGTAGCTGATGTAACGTCGAAGAATGAAAACGAACAGTTTTACATTGAACATTAATTAATCATTATACTATAAATAAAGTTATAGGGGGGGGGGGATGCAGTTTACCCTCTCAGTTGTACGCATTATGTTTTCCCAACACGTCATGCCTACCGTAACAAAACGAAAGAACCATTCCCAAAGTGGCGGTGGTGGCGGCCACTGATATTTTACAAATTACAAATTGTTTTTCGTTAGTATATACATATAATAAGTAATAACTAATATACGTTTTAGCCGTACAACGGTATTTCACGTACGGAACAAACCCTCGAGGTACATTTAATATGAGTGTGTATAATATGTATATTACTTATATTAAGTGTGTATAAAGTTATAATTGCGCAGTTTTCATCAGCCATTCAGTATAAAATGTGAGCACGTAAACCATAAGCGCATTTCGATCCAAACACACACACGTTATATTAAAGTTGTATGGGCTGTAATGCCTGTAATAACATTCATTCATTCATTCATTCGATCGCGATACGAAGATTTATGATTAATACCGATTCGTATTTAGTACGAGCGCACACTCACACATTTATAAATATATATTATAAACGTATATAGATGTGACTCATTAGTCTTTAGATGCCTATCGCGGTCGGGTTAAGTCTCCGTGCCTATATCGTTTTGGCGCACGAAGACACACGCACACACACACACACACAGACAATATTATATTATATCGACCGTGTGATCTATCGTTTTTAATAACGTTCGACACACACACACACACACAGACAATATTATATTATATCGACCGTGTGATCTATCGTTTTTAATAACGTTCGCCGCCGTCGGTCGAAATAATATTATAATATTATATACATACATATAGGTCTACATGTATTCGTGGGAATAATGTCAGCAAAGTATCTGCTGTGTGGAACGGACTCATATAGCTCGGAGCCACAGCGGACACGCCCTCTCCGCGTTTATTACATATATTATTATTTTCCGGTCAAAACGCTTTAAACACATAGCTGGTACCCATTCATATAACAATATATCGCGCGCTCACTTTTTATTTGGTAATATAATATCTTTACTAACGAAATCACAAAAAGATCATCCCAATACGAAAATACGACTTGTTATCTTAATAACCCCGTGTATTTAGGTACACGCCTAATCATTTGATGTTTTCACTAAATTGCTTTTCGATACTCGCTATTATATAGCCTCTAGACAAAATAATAGTACAGGCGTGGATCGAAACGCACTAAAAAGTACGAAAGACGGCTGACAAGTTTCGAATAAATTGTTTTAATTTATCAAACATATGTCTTTTCTTAAATTATATGGAATCAATCAAAAATTAAAAACTTCTGTACACTGATATTAAGATTGTTAAGTGTTAAAATGTATTATTTAAATATTGAATACACAGCTTCACAACTTGTGGAGGGTCCATCACATATATTTTAAACGCTATAAAAGTGCATTACAGGAATTTAAAAAAGCTAAACAAATGTAAAAATAAAATCACAAACAAATTATGCCCTATTGATTTTAAATAATAATGGTTAATGACATAATATTATATTAATTCTATACCTCTGCTAATTGTATTGTCTATAATTATCTAAACGGAAAATTCTTTTTTTATTCACAGTCGTTTTTCGGACGGACCTACAACAACCTGAGTTCGATATCGGAATGCAAGAACAACGGCGAGTGCGTGATCAACAAGAAGAACAGGACGTCATGCAAGGCGTGCAGGCTGCGCAAATGTCTGTTGGTGGGCATGTCTAAGAGCGGATCGCGGTACGGCCGCCGGTCCAACTGGTTCAAGATACACTGTCTGTTACAAGACCAAAACGCGGCTGCTGCAGCTGCGGCCGTCGGCCACCATCCACCACACCATCACCACCAGCACCACAACGGCAGCAGTCGGTCGTCACCGCACCACCAACAGCAGCAGCCGCCTCACCACCAGTCGCAACCGTCGCCGTTCGGTTCGCCTCTGTATCCAGCCGGTCTGGTGCACCCCGGCCACCATTTCCTGGCCACCGACAAGTTCCTGCAAGCCCGACTCAACGGTTACGGGGCCGCCGCTGCTCTGATGACCGCTGCCGTCCAGGACGACGCGTCCTGCCGGCGCCAGGCAGCCGCCGATGCGATCATCAGTGGGCATCACCAACACCATCACCGTAACCGCCATCATCACAACAACAACAACAACAACAACAGCATTGACCGACGGCATCGTCATCGTTACGACGACGAAGACGATGACGACGACGATTGCGGTGGCCGCCGTCGCCGTGACGGTGATGATGATGACGATGATGACGACAACGGCGAGCGTAACGACAACAACAACGGCGGTGACGACCATTCGCCAAAGGGTGGACACCGTCGCCGGCGCCGGCCGTCTGCCTCCGACGATTCGGGCGGCTCGTCTATGCCCGACGACGAGGACAACCGCGGCAATAGTCGCCGCAAGACCGCCAGTCCTGTGCTCCGGCACCACCACCGCAGCCCGTCCTGCACCACCGGTGGTACACCGCCCGCGTTCCGTCAGCTGTCATCGTCGCCTTCCGCGTCGTCCACCGGTTCAGGGGACGTCAAACGCATCCGGCTGTCCGTCAGTCCGTCGTCGGCCACCGTCGGCTTGTCGCCCATCTCCGGTTTCCACTCGCCTTACTACCCGCTGTCCGTCACCCGACCCGGACTGACGCCGTTTGTGGGCGGCGGCCTCACGCTGTCCATGGCGGCGGCCGGCTGGCACGCGGCCGTGGCCGCTGGGCGCACGGCCGCCGGTGGCGATCTGTTACTATCCAGCCCGGCTCCGGGCGGCGTGGCCGTCGAACAGGAATACCCCATCGACCTGTCACTGAAGACTACGGCCGCCAAGTACAACAGGTCGCCGCTGCCGCACGCGCCCCAATCTGCCGGCGGCCGGCACTCGGCCACCGACGACCCGGAGACCGCTATCACGGCCACCGCGCTGCCGCCTTCGCCGTTGGACCTCACCAAACGGACGGCTGAAGTTTAGTTCGACTGACCACCCCACCTGCAGCAGACGACAGCCCGCGGTATCGCTCCGGAGAGGAGAAACCTTGCTACTACTACCTATTCCACTACTACTACTACTACTACTACTACTACTACTACTACTATTACTACCACCTATACCACTACCACGTTGTACCGTACGAGTTGTGTACACTCACGTATTCGTCGTCGTGTCAAAAAGTCGGAAGAAATTTTTTTTGCTGAATTTTTTATCTTTTTTTCGGCATCGTCCTAGTCATTGTATACAGAAAAAAAAACGATCGTTCTCAATTTCGTACACAGAGGTGTACCTATATTAATTGAACAACGCGACCCGAATGATGCGGTGTGTCATGTGCGCACGCGCACTTAGGCGCGCATTAATATCTCCCGGTGAAGGGTTGGGAGGGGACTGGGGGGTAGAAGAGCACGCGTACCTCGGTCGTCGTAGGTATAATACATATTATTATTATACCGGTTATACGGTTACTATATAATATGACGTGGTGCGGTGTGCGTGTTTACATTGCGGTAACCCCGTTGTCCATTTCGGGCTTAGAAGACGAAAACAAAACGGAAAAAAAATAGGTACTGCAGTGGGCACATCACAGTGTCAAAGACAATAGGAGTTTGTCACACTCAGTAACAATGCCGGTGGGCGGCTGTCTTCGCGACAGCGCATATTGTGCATATTATAATACACATATAATACACGTGTGTACACCCTAGGCCCACACCCGTAATTTATTACCCGTATTTTCATGTTACATATTATAATACACGTGTGGTCAACAAAGCAGTAATTTATTTTTTTAAGACGGAATAAGACAAACTGCATACATTATTTTATTATTATTATCATCATTATTATTATTTTTTTTTTTATTATTATTATTAATATTATTATCATTATTATTATTATTAGATACGTCATGTTGTACATACATACGTTAGATAAAGCCGATTTTAAAGTTATTTTACTATTTCGATTATAATTTAAAAACTGAATAATAAACGAACGGGTCTCGTGTATTATTGTAGTTAGTTCATTGTCCATTAACAAAATATTTGATATGGATATTATATTTTATGTAGCTACATAATATTTTGTAAGATTTAATATTATTACATTTTTAATTAATAAATTGTTATTATTTTTATTTTCATTCTTTAAGTTATAGGGATTCGGCCAGTAATAGCATTGTACATACTGTATTTAATTTAATATTATAATATAACTTTATTTATAGTAAGACGTAATTGTAATTTTATTTTATTTTTCGTTATCTATGTATATGTAAAAATAAATTGTATAAATTATTAAAATTAAGAACTAGTTAAAAATGAAGAAAAGTAGAAATAAAAAAAATTTAGATTTTAAATACATTATTATGTTTTAGTTATTCTTTTTTACACATTATACTCTAATATAAATACTATGTTTTTTTTCAACAGTCTAGGTATAAATGGTATAATAATAAAATTATATCGCCTTAGCCTCGTTCCAATTCGGTCGAGCGCATACCGTACTTGAGCAATAAATAGCTCTTATATTATACTGCGCATACAATACTGCAGTGGACTCTATAGGCGTACTGTTGAAGAAAATAAAAAATGTTGGAATTATTGAAAAATTAAAAACTAGGAGGCAAAAGTTGCATAATAATACACATATTGGTACAATGGTACGCGCGGTGATACAATAATAATTAGTAATTATTATCAACTGTAAGATAACGACGTACAACAACAACACTCAGTCAGTACTCAGTTGCCGCTCGATTAAAAATGCCGCAACGAAAACGCATATAATATATATAGGTAAACTGGCATAAGTACTACTGCGTAAGTTGCACGGACGACTGTCGAGGAAGTCACGACTTTTACGTTGTTCGTGTACAAAATAAAATAATAATATACATGGTTTATTATTGTAATTTTTTTTTTCAAAGGTCAGTATATGGTTTTCTTGTCAAAAATAAAATCGCGATCGGTCGGGAGGACTGATCCGATGAGAGACATCGGAAAAAAAATGAAAAATTGTGCCTAGAACGTTTAATGCCACCGTCGTGCCCATTATATTGCACACACACATACACACTGCAAATGCAACTAAAGCACCGTAGCCGTGTAATTATTATTATTACCACCGCCGACCTTGATAAATAGTGCACGACGACCGGCAGAGGCTGTCCAAGACAGACCGCGTCATCGTCTCCGTCTTAATAGTATGCGATTAGTAAACTAGGAGGAAAAAATTACACCGACTAAATCTATAGTTACTTTAACAATCCTGTACAAATAATATGAATTCGTCCACGTGCGATATGCGTAGGTACATCGGTCAACGTACAATACGCATATCCGTATAGCGTAATGATATAATTATGATACCTAATGCCAATCACCTTTATAATATAATAATTTAATACTATAAATAATCGTCAAGTGGGGTTTTAGATTTAGACGATTGACGAAACGCGCTTATATAGTAGGTATATAAAATCTAAACAACAATCTATTTCCGAGTTAATTTTTCCGTTTCGATAATATCAAATCCTGAAAGTCGATCGGTTCATTTTTGACCAGCAAGAAAATAAGGTATCCGTAAATACTATTCCGTCCACTAACCTAATATAGTTACTTGCGTTCTATAATGTAACACCAGTACACCACTATTAATAACCACATAATAATATTATAGTCAATACCACTAACTTTTCCGTTAAATGTCGATCTACTTTTGCCGTTTATGTAAAACTGTAGTTATTACTTATTAGTTATTACCTTGCCTAATCGAACAAAGAATTCGAACATTTTATCAACGACTGTGTGACACATAATTATTTCCGTTAGGCGATTATCCGTTTAGTTTTTAAATCCAAGTGGTTCAATATTGCGATACCGTTGTACTGACAAACCTCGCCTACGTTTGTAGATACGTATTATATAGGTACATTTAGTATAATATATATGACCGCTTTTAAATTCGTTTAAATTGATACACGGTCAAAATATATTTATAATATTTACCTTAGTACCATACTAGGAGTTCTCAAGAATATTATCGTTTAAAATAGAATTACGAAAGCTAATACTAAGAAATATTATTATTTATGCCTTGGACACATTTTATTTTTAAATAATACACCGCAGTTTAATAATAAGTACAAATTATTATTTAAGCTCAATAATATATTATAAATAGGCATATCAAATAGTTTGTCAGCATGAAACGAATTAGCATGTCATTTGGACGTTTGGTAATAATAATTTTATTATTGCACCTAGCCACCTAGATATCGGTTTTGTTTTTTACTCGATTTTCAAGTAAAAAATTTGTACATTTATACCTTCAACGTCCTCGTTCTAAATACAAATATTATAACCAGTCTTAACTTACTGTTGATTATGTATATAATATTGTATCATAATTTATATTACGAATAAGAATTATGGCCATCTTCAAAACGTGTTCAACACAGCTTCCGGTGGGCAAATCGAGTGAGTCCAAAATCGAAGAGATTTTTAGACATTAAAGCCAGGGTGTGTATAATATTATGTCTAATACGCTTTTGCGATCGACCGACCGACCGACTGACGTCTCTCTGACCGTTCTCTCGATAGTCCTTCGATGCCATTTTCGTATATGCGTACGCAATAAATATTGTCCAAGTACGTTTTATAGATCCACTTTTGCGTATTCAGGCCGACTTCCGAAATTAACAACAATAAAAATGTTAATGCACCGCACGTTGGTAAAATGATAAGTCGTCGACGTCAAATCTCGTCCTCCAAAAGCAACCGATCCGGCGGCGGTCGGCATCCGCTCCTCGCTCGCGAGATGACACATTTTCACTTTCTTCCATTTTTATACGCCGGTGCTATAAACATTAATCGTTGCCCCATAAACACGTGCGACGGAGGTCCAGCTTCCATCGTTTCGTAAGATTTCCACCGTTAAGATCGTTTATGATATTTATTATTACAATCATTCTATATAATATCGAAACTCGAAACTCCGTAAAAAGCGTTGGGTTTCCGATACGACACGACGACACTATTACAATGCACGTACATGGGTATTATATCGTGGTATATAAGTACAGAATAATATAATAATTACGGTGGTTTTGAAGCAGATTGCGATGTCGGACTATAAATATAATAATTCTCATAGTAATATAAATAATAATATCTGATGTTGAACTCGTTTCGGGGACTTGACACAATGACACACGTCGTTTCGTCATTGATTTACTCATAATATAATAGAATAGTATACCCATAGGCAGCGTCTTATTTTTGGATCGCGTAATCGTATGAATGTGATCGCCTCGGGTGGCACATTTCGATAGGTATGCACATTTTTTCGTTAATAATTATATTATTGATACAATGCAATTATAATTTAACCATTGATAATGTTATACTGGGTCCACACACAGTGCAGAGCGATATCGGTAAAATGTTATAATATTGTCTTGGTGATGTCGCCACGGTAGCCGTAACCTAAATCCAATCCGGCTGTATTTTACGGTTATCTCCGCAGAGTGTGTCTTCCCTTTATCTTAATTTTATTTCCTCTAGTCTTATGATCCAAGTGTATTTTCTAACCGTAAGAGAGCGATAAAACGCGATTATTTTACTATTTAAATACGATAAATTTTAAATAACGTTTGTAGAATTGTATAAACAAACTCTACTTACCTGGAACCTGTGAATAATATAGGTTAGACCTATGTCGTACCTACTATCATTCCGGACGGCTCGAAATTCTCGGGAAACGCGTTTCGTCGTCGGACTGGAAAAGACGATTCTCGCGGCAAACATACTCTTAGGTACAACAACTCGTTTCACTGGAATTTCGTTGCACTGTGACTTGTACACAATCTATTATAGTTAATGCACTCGAGGACGACGAAGAAGATTCGATGGCGGTTTGAATGTTTGAACTCGAACGGCACGACGAGCGTGGTAAAAAAAGGCCTTACGCGATGATTACGTTTTCCTGGAATTGGCTGACGAACAACGGAAAATATCGTGCTAGTACCCGGTCAAGAGTTTACCGCATATAATTTGGACCACGGTCGAGGTAACCAGACAACCCTTATCCATATTAATATGGTTAACCACGATTTTAATTACCGCTAGTGAGTCTAATTCTCTTCCTCCAAGAAAACGGTGACAGATGTCTGTTTTCTCTACGTAGCCACACTGTAGTGCTCAGTTTGCTGTTTTCCGGAATAGCTGTTGTCGCCGGCCATTTTTTTCCGTGTTTGTCGAGTTTTCCAATCGATTCTCATTTCTCAATCAAACCATGTAACTATTTAACGTTAAAAATAACCACCTCTCAGTATATACATGCAATCCAAACTCTAAAGTGTAATAAAATTTATTTCAAAAAATGACGTGTATCTACAAAATACCATGTTATTTTTACATCATTTTTGACATTTGATGTCATTTTTTTTTTGAGGTATTTCTTTTAGAGTCGGTCTAAATTTCTATCTCCATCATTCTACTGTGTTTTAGTAAGTACTGCAATGCTATAGATTCAATAATTGTATATAGTTAGTAATTTGTAGTTATTTAGACCAAAAATAATATATTATCTATTGGCACCTACTTAAATATTAAACTAGTAAATAGTAGGTTCTCTCAAATGAGTGGTTAAGTGTTCATTTTTTGTACTTCACTAGCTAAGTAGAGGTTTTAAAATTGTTCACTATATGTTATTAAATAATTACTTAGTCAAAAGTACGATTGTCAGAATAATTATGTAATCCTTTTATAATGTTAATGCCTAAAAGCAAAGTTATTTATTGATCATTACCAATTTGGTATTATGTTCAACATTTTTAAATGATTTTATTATTCTACGCCTTTATTCAATGATAAAATGTTTGTATGGTGCAAAATTATAATTCATGAACAAAATACTTAACTTTAATTGCGTATAACCTATT